ATAAGTTTTCTGTTGTAGTATTATCAATTGACTGATCTCAAATATGCAAGCACCTCAGTACATTCAGTTTACCTTAAATTTTGGTCTCTGGTACGGTCAGTATCTCATTTGATAATACTACAAAGAAAATGTCATGAAGATTGTTCTCATTTGCAGCAAATGCCGCAAGCCACACATATTGTAAGATGTTATTTTAGGATGAGTCTCAAATTTTACGAAAAAATGCCTAAAATTGTCATTTCGATTTACCCGCAAAATTAGTTATCTTCTGTCAACAACCGCATTAACATTAATGCGCCTTTAGCCAGTCTCCAAGCAAAGAAGGTCCATTCCATTTTAAAGAGCCCCAGATAACGTTCTGTATTTGTTTTGTTTCCAATGTCTGAATCTTTTGTACAAGCTGGAATCAGTGAGCTTAGAGATTAAAATAAAAAATAAAAAAAAAAAAAAAAAAAAAAAAAAAAAAAAAAAAAACCAATGCAAGCAATGTATAAAACATACAAGATTTTTACGAGTCCGTTTTGGAAATCTTATGGTCATACAATGTGAATTTCAAGAGGCAAATATGTATCCGAACATCGTACTTTCTTACTAACATCTTACTTTGTGTTTGGTTTGTGGTCGTGTGTGTTCCATTGAGTGTGGTATTTTCAATTATACTAACCAAATTTTTAGAGTATATTCTATTGCTTTTCAAAGTAAAATATCTGGCAGGGAAAATTATCATCAATTTCTTTTTTCTCTATCTGACGAAAAGCCAACCCTAAGCATTATGATACGTACAGTCTTGATCCCAGACTGTTTTACACTTTTTAACAAGAATAGTTCTGACCTTCATATCTCCTAAAAGTCCAGGTCACAACAAGAATTATCTTACAAAAGCCTCTGCGGACTTTTATTTCCATTTTTCATCTGTTTGCATGATTTTCTAACAATGTTGAATATTACTGTCACTAAATTTTCCAACCAGTATACGAAGTCTTGTAACCGTTATATCATGGAAGAAAGATTTCCTCTCTTTTTCTCTTTTGTTCTTTACGTTTAAGGTATTTACTTCCGAATGCTCTCTCTTTTTTAAACGTTTGTCAACTATTTCACATCTCGAGCTGACATTAGCTGACAAAAAGCAGCTAATTTTCTTTAGTGAGTAAACTGACCATACCAAGTGAGGAGAAGTTGAACTTACCTGTTCTTTTTTCTCAAATAATTTCAAGGGACTCTTCTTTCATGAATCGAGGAGTTAAGTGGTTGAACCTTAAGTCTGGAGTATTAATTATATGATATGTTGTTGCCAAATAAATAATAAAAAAAAAATGTATTTTTTTATCTTTTCACAAGATATTGATTTTGATCTTAATGTTGTATTCTCTCAATTTTATCAAGTAATATAGATGTATTACAGACGCATTGGTTGTGTACGTGTATGCTGCTAAGCAGATCTTGATTTTGTCTTGTCACTACTTACGCACTTTATTATATGGACTGAATTTGACAGAAATACACCAATTCGAATAAAGTTTGAATCAAGAAGAAGAGGTTCAAATTTTATTCCTCCATCACTGAGACTCAATGTAGAGCACAAATTTTAACGACCATTTTCACGCTTAAAATATTTCACTTGACTATGAATTTTTGATCGGAGAAAAACATAAGACTAGTTGAATTGACAACGACCCTAAACTCTTTTCTCCAAAAACGACTCTATGTATTAATATTAAAAAAAAAAAAAAATTCAAAATTTTTACATTTAATTTTTTACTCGGTACGTTTCTGTTGAACTGAGATCATGTTATTCTTACCTCTGTTGAATCTTTAAGGTTCATTTTTTTCTGCCACATTTTGGGCTCTGTTCTTTGTGTGAATGTCTCTCCTTACTTTCTATGATCAGTCAACTCAGATAACTCATTTTCATGTAACTAATTGACTAATAATGAATTCTTCCTTCTCAGCTGGGAATATCTCCAATATCTTTTGTTGATTAAAGGGTGATACGCAATTCATATTAATTTACTGTGGATTATCCTGCTAATTTGCTTTTTCCCAAACAGGCCCAAAATTTTGCTGAGCAGATAGAAGCTACGCCGTTTTCTCCAAGAAATATATTACATGATTTAGAAATCGGTCTGAATGAAATTTTATCAAAAGATTACCATTAAAATCTTAAAATTCTACCTTGTAAGATTGAGTAAAAAACTGAATTTTCCGTCCTGATTCACGGAGGATTAAAACTGAGGATTCTTTGAGGATGACCTGGTTTCCCTATGCCTAACCTGATTCAATTTTTTTCTCCTAAAGTTACTCCAAGTTTGTTAGTTCCTTCTTAAATTTTCAAGGACTCTATTGGAAAGATGTCTGTTTTAAGCCTCATACTTTTCAGCAAAAATGAGAGAGGGAGAAAAAAATTTTTAAAAAAAAAGGAAATATTTGTCAAAAATATGACTTCCTTATGCCGTTTTATTAGACTAGAACCTTATTTAATTTTTAAACAGAAATAAATTTTTCTTAATATTATTTAAGAGTTGAGAAACACGGAAATCCTCAAACAAACAAACAAACAAATAAATAAATGAAGAAAAAGAACTACGAACAAACTTGAATGTAGACATTTTAATATTGTTGTGGTTAATATATGTTTCATACAAAAAACCTTGGTAACTTTGAAGCAATGAAGGAATGTTTAAAAAAGGAGAAATCCCTCACATCTTGCAGCCTTTAGTTGATTATATTTTATTGTTTTTCGTTCAGGTATGTCATTAATTTGTTGACTATCTACTGTCTCCCATTAATTTTTCAGGGAAGAAAACATATTGTCATTTGAACAAAAAAAAAAAAAAGGAGGACATACCGTAATTATTCCTAGTTTTTAGTCTGGTCTTCTTAGTAGCTCCCTCAATATTCATGATCAACATTATTTATTTCGTTATGCTCCACAATAAGGTAAAAGTGAAAAGTAGAATAGAAAATAGCTTTTGAATAAAGGAAGAAAGAAAAAATATTTTAAGTAAAGAATGAATTGAAAAGTAGTTCAGATTTTTTGGAAAACTTTGCAAAAAAAAGTCTGTTTCAACAGCATGCTGAGCAAGAATAAAAAATTATGGTGGATATAGAAAAAAAATTTCAGTTTGTACTTTATTGACACTCATTATTTTTCTCTCATTAAGTAATCACTGTTTTTGCAAGAGCAATTGTTGAGTTAAGAGTACTCATTTTGTCTAATTATAGTGGTGATTCTTGAAAATTGGCAACACTGTCTTTCTTCCATTTAAATAAGAATCGTAAAAGAATCGATTTGTGGCCTCACCTTGAATCGATATTTTCAATGGCTTTAAATGGAGACAAAACAATATTACCAACTTGCAGAATCACTACTGTCAAATCCCACTTTCCTCTACCTTTCTGTAGGAATAATGTGAGAGACACTTTCATGGGCTGCTAACTTCAATTTCTTTTATTTTATGAATTTATTGCTACTCGTTTATCTTCCAGCACCACCAGCGCATGAACAAAACTTTGACTGTTTAGCTTTCCATAGGTTTTTTCCCCCATCAGTTTATCATTTTCATTTCAGCTCATCTTCTGCACTTCATATCAGGCGTAAAAAAAAGGAGAAAGCATACTTACATTCTCATTTTTCTGCAGGTCCTCGCACTGATATTTTTAAAGAAGAAATCTCTGCATCAATTAACTAATTGTAGCCACTAATTCAATTTATTCTTTTCCCCTCGAATAGGAACAAGACTTAATGCTTCATCAGTTTTCTTCGGGATATACTAATTGTTTTTTGTTTTGTTGTGTTAGTTATTTTAAATAATTTAGGTGTCAAATCATCACTCAAATGATCCTTTTGATCAGAGGCAGATCTAGCAATTTGGCAACACCGGATTTCCTACATTTACACTTGTGTTAAATAATCGATGATTGTTGGAGCACCAGTCCCCTCCAAGAATCGATTCATTCCCATAGGTTTAAATGGAGAAAAAGAGTGTTGCCAATTCGCTAGATCTGCCAGTGCTTTTGATCCTCTTCTTCTTCTAAGGCAAAATGAACCAGGCCAATCAGTAGTCTTGCAGATTATGCGCAGCAAATTGGCGACATAACTTCTGAGGGATTCTTTTCATTTTATCATTTTTCTGCAACGTCCGAAAATGTCACCATCTTAAAATTCTATGAAATCTCTTATAGCCTTGAAAATGAAAAGATGATTTTAGTGTAGTTAATCAAAGCTTTGAAATTAGCTCTTAAGTATTTTTCATCTTGTGTCTTTCTGATGTTCCTGAAAAATGTACAAGGTTTTTCCTCTTGATGCAAGAGCACCATTTGTGCCAGTACCTGGGATTGTACACTTTGTTTATTTTATTTTATTTTTTAAAATCTCTTATTGTACTTTGAAAACAAAAAAATACGCTATAAAAGTGGATTCCTAAATGTTAGTATTTTTAAGAGAAATTTTCCAGTGAATTGGCTTTTGAAATGGCACTTATGGTTCAGTTGCATACAAGAGGCTTGGTATGAGAAATTAGTTCAAAATTCTAAGAACTGACTCTTATCTTCATGTCTGTCATAATCAAGGTTTATTAACAAGTTTAAAAAGTTGAGCATCTTGGTTATAATTTCGTTTTCTACTGAGTCCAATACATTTCAAGTAGAGTTAGTAAATGCAGTCGTAAAATTAAACAAACTGAACTTATGCAGTTTGTGTAAAGATAATTTTTGAGAAAAATTGTTCATTGAATTTGCCCCAATATTTCACAGCTTGAAAATATTTCAGATGAGGATAAAGTCATTTCTTCTATGTTTTGAATCAATTTGCTCAATAATTTTCATGAATGTAATTTTTCAAATACATTACTTCCTTTTGAATAAGTTATAGAAATCATCACACATCTCGAAAGTGAATCACTTCGGTCAAAACCGCGACAGTACGAAAAAGTAGACAAGAAAGGGAATTTTGATGGATCTCATTTCTTTTTCTCATTGGGTGCTTTTTTTCATATTTACAGGTGAGAAAAGATTTCTTTGCCCTGTTGAGAGAGAGCTCAGAGGTTACTCGACACTCACGCTGGAGCGAGGTCAAGAAGAAACTGGACAATGACTCCCGTTACAGAGCAGTGGATTCCAGCTCCACACGGGAGGACTGGTTCCGCGAGTACATCAAAATCCTGAAGGATGAACGCAAACGGGAGAAGGAGAAGGACAGAGACAAGGATAAGAAGGACAGAGACAGGAAAGAAGATTCGAAAGAAAAGGATGCAGAAAGTGACGTAAGTTCATCTTGAGTTACTCTCGCTTGAGAAAACTTGCTAAGAAGCTCCCACCTTAGGGTCCCTCTAAATATATGGATTTTTGAAATGGGCCGCTTCACATTCCTCAATTTCTACCGAGGTTTACAAAAGACCCATGCCCAGAATTTCAGCCCTTAATCAAATTTTTCTAAGGAATTTCTCATGAGGATCCACCAGATTTCATTCAACATTGTTTTTCTTGGCATTTGTCGCTAGAAAATCCTTAATATCCACACAAAGATTTTTTTTTTTTTTTTATTAGGTAAAATACTTCAACTTCGATAGATAAAACACCAAAATCCACCCCACTACTATCACTACCCTGTCTGTTAGTTCATGTACCCTTTCTATTGAGCCTAACATTTTAACAGCTTTAAAAAATCAATAAAATCGTTCCACTCCATTTGTGCAAACGTGAAAATATAAAGCAAATTTAAAACTTTAATTAATCAAATAATTTTATAATCTAGTACTTTAGATATGCAACCTTTGTAGGCATGCGACCTTTGCCCATTAAAAGTTAGAACATCTTCATTTACTCGTCTGATAACATTTTCATCAGTAATTGTCATTTTGTCTTTTAACACGAGAGGAAAGGGAATCAGATGGATGCCTAAAATTAATTTATGCTTAACATGTACTAGACAAATATCACAAAATTGAAAGTAGCAAAATAGTCCAGTCAATAGGGGGTAAAGTAGAGACAATTTCTGAGGAAACTTTCTGATATACTATTCCTATGTATTTTTTATCGCTGAATCCGAATTTCATATTTGCGAAAAGATCTGAGGCGAGCCAAAGCCGCCATCTTGAAAAAATGGCCGAAATTTTCGTTTTTCGGCCATAAAACGGAAATAACTCGTATATTATGGAAATTACGGCAAAAGTAGTTATTTTCTAAATTAAAGTACATAAAATTTCCATTAAAACGAGTCCAAGATGGTTAAGATCGGATGATAACAAATGCCGTTACAGCGTTGCAAAGTTTCAGGCAATTATTGAAGTTAGGCAATTTTCGTAACTCTCCCTGCAAAAAGAGAGCTTTCAAGGCAATTAATCATTAAATCGTAGTAAGTGTAAGTATGAATGATAAAAGGAGTGCAGTTTTGAGTTCTTGACTTTCAAGAACGGCAGTGGATAATGGGGGGGGGAGGGTCCGTATAAGTGCAACTGCAGGGTCCTCCGTTCCTCCCCCATTTTCATGGCCCGGGTGCGGCCGGTCGGCCTTCTTTCTCCAGTTATTAGTTTTCCTGTCCTCCACAGACGCCCTATCCGGACATAAACTTGATGTGCCTACGTAAAGGTATATTCGCTGATTACAACATTAGCTGCCACCGAGCCAAAGAGACAGGCACTGCTAGCTTATGTCAAAAATATAGTAGGTCAAACTTTTGAGTCCGTTAAGTTTAAGCGCGCCGACCGCTGCGCTGTGAGCCAATCAGTAGTATGAGGAGTTTAATTTGAATTGAAAACGATGTTGTTCCAATCAACCCTCTCATATTATGTCGGTGCATACTTATCATTAAAAAATCAGATGAGGAGCTTCAAAATTTTTAGTCGCACGAACTTCCACCCTATCCACTCTTGCTATTTACCGCAGCAGATGTCATGAGTAAAGCTACAATGTCCACATTTTATAATGCATTTACACCGTGGCATGGCTCCCTCTGCGCCCCACTGCCTCTTGTTTCATCCACTTGTCAATCTCATCACTTCTCTGCATTTCATAGTCATTGTCCAAACATTCAGTGTCTTCTGG